AATGTAGAGAATAATAATAGATTGGCATATTTTCAAAGTATAAACGACACAATTTCGAATTCTAGAAGATTTTTCTTGGAATTTTTATTAGTTTTGTAAGATGTATTAAATAAAAATTTTATATAGGAGTTTTGGGAGTATATGTTGTTCATTATACCTACCACATATTTATGGTAATTTTATATTCATATGGTTGTAAATAATAATAACTCTGTGTTTTAAAGGAACAATTATATGCTGAGTAAAAATTTTATGTATCGAATAAATTTTATTATTAATTCTGAAATTTAAATTCAATATTATTTTAATAAATTTGAAATTTTAGATAAATAAAGATTAAACTTTAAAGAACACGAATTTCAAATAAAATTAAAAAGCTCCAAACTAGAGTTGAAGCATTTTTGGTTGTAATCACAGATTTTTAAACGAATTTAAAAGAATTTAATACAAAATTTGTTTGTAATTGAAAATATGGGAATTTGGGAGTACGAACCTATTATATACTTATTGTAGGACATTTTCAAAATTGAAACTATTTGGGACTAACAAAATAATTACAGAATTCTTAAAATAGAATGTAATATTGTCTAACAGCATAAATGTCTTATATTACAGTGGTATAGAGCTATGGTGATATGGTGAATAAAATATGAAATAAGGGCATGCATTATAATCAGGTGAGCAACTTATTTATTTGTATCAACAGCGAATTTGTATAAAATTATAACATTAAACTTAAAATATTAAAAATACTGATAACATCTGTAAGAATATTTTAGCTTTATCACAAATTAACAAGCATTTTTTATTTATCAAAAGGTATTCCTTGTCATTAAAGCAAAACACCTACATTATTACATTTTAAATTTATAATATGAAATAAATCAAAAATTTAAGAATAAGTGAAAACAAACTTCAATCTCTTAAGGAATAGAAAATACATGTAGGTTCAATATTGATTTTAAATAAAGGAAAGAATTCAAATTGTGAATTTAGAAATCTAATTTTTCTCTTTTGCAAAATAAAATCAAAAAAAGGAAAAACAAAGGCAGAAGAAAACTAAAAACAAAAAAAATTAACAAGAACAAAAATTAGATTAAAAAATTCTTTTGAATTTAAAAATTATAAAACAAAAAAAAAATACAAAAAAATTTTTCTTCCTACAACAAACGCTGCGTTTCTATTGAATTTAAGCAAAGAATTTGCTTGTATTTTATTTCAAAAAGGATAAGAATTCTTAGTATTGCTCATTTTTGTTTTGGTTGCTTCAAAAATTTTTATCTTATTGCCTACGTTTCTTATTTTTTAAAAACTGAAAAAATTTTGCGCGAAAATTCTTATGATTTTCTTTTTCTGTTTTTTTCTTTTGTTCTTTTTGTCATTTTTCCGTCCAATTGGCGTAAATTTATATTTAAAGAAATTTTAAAAATTCTTCAACAAGCTGGAATCAATCCTTTATCATGAAATTTTTTTTTCTGCTTTTTGTTTCTTTTTTTTTTTATTAAATAATACAAGAATTTATATTATTATGCTTTTATTGTCTGATATTTACATAGTGTTTATGTGTATGTGTAAATAATCAAAAAAGTTTTTGTTCAAGAAATTTTCCTAATGTCTTGCAAATGTTCAATCAACTCATTTTTTCTTTCTTTTTCAGCTTTGTTTAATGTTAATCTCTATGTTCTCTGTTGAGAGAAAATATACTTTGAGTTTATCACCATGTTTAAATGATGATTTCTTATAAAATAAAAATATTAGCCAGATAGCGGAAGGTAGAGAAGAGAGGTAGAGTGGTAAAAAGGAAAGAAATGAAGAGAAGAAGAGAGAGAGAGTAGGTGGTTAGAAAAGTTTTCATAAAGAAACAAAAATATGTTAAAAATTTTCAAATTTCCTTTGAGTGTTTTAGCGCGCGTATTTCATATTACAAAATAATACGGTATATAGAATCGCATATCCTTTTCATTTTTATTCATGATGAAGAAAATTATTTTTATTTTTTTGCCCATTTCTTTTCATTTACCCTATATATATATATATATAAATTATAAAATTTTATTCAAGTTTTTGATTAGAAAATTTTAAAAATTTTTATTTTGTTTTCGTTTCTTCTTGTGTTCTAAGTTATTTTAGGAAAGTGAGTGTATTATTTCCATAAAGAAAATATTAAATTCATTGAGATTAAAGAAATTTAATTTGAAAGTTTTATGTTGTCGTTTTCTTTAAGATTAAAATAGATTTAAGTATATAGATCAAAATTATTTTAGAGGAAAAAGCAGTTTTTAATTTTAAGATTTAAAATTTTAGTTTTAAAATTCTAAATTTTAATTTCAAAGGAAAATATTTTCATCTTATATTAAACAAAAATTTTGTTCCTTAAATCTTAAATTATAAAATTTTTAATTAAGTACTTTGATTTTTATTAAAATATTTTCTATTGTGTTATATTAGATTGATAGAAATGATTGTTATGACGACGAAAGAAAATTTTTATTAAAATTCTATCACTTCTATTACATACTTAATTAGGGTGCTTGCATTATAATGCTTCAACAGCTCTTAATAAACCCGATCAATTGAATAATTTTTATATGAAAATATACAATGTATAGACGGATCCAATCTTCTCTTATATGAGAACTCTTTTCTCACACAAACTTCTCTCTTAATACGATCTATTGCCATCAGACAGTAGTACTAACCTAATTATTATTTACACTAATTAATATTGATTGTATATTGGCAAAATTATTAGTGCTTTCAATAATTAATATTAGGTTGAGTGAGGTATAGTTCCTAGTTGGGTGTAACGGTGATATTGTTAAACAAAAATTATAAATATTTACTAAGAATCATTCCTAATATTCTTTTACTTGTTGAGTAGGAAACCGGCTGTTAAATGGTAAATCATTCATGGTATATGTGTTACAATACTTTCTCATTTGCGTATTTACTTGTGTACTCACAAGTTTTAATTATATTCGAGATAGTAAAGCATATCAAAATCCTCACAACTTCACAGTATGAAATACTCTCAATATCTTTTTAACAGAAACTTTTCCACTGTTTCTACCACATTCTAAATAAAATTGATTTCACATTTAGTCAAGCATTGAATATTACAATCTACTACTGACAAATAAATTATACAACAAATTTAATTAGAAAATTTTCATAAAGAAAAAACTTGTTACAATAATTATGAAAATTTTCTTACTAAAATTGTACAATATTGTTTGAGTTTTCCATTTAAAATTAGAAAAAAGTCAATAATAATTTCTTTCAATTATTTTAAACTTGATCTTTTCTGCAACAATATTTTGAGAGTACAATTCAAATTTTCTTTTTTAATAACTACTCTTAACTAACCAACTTTATAATAAAAAAGTTTTTAAAGGGTTAAGTATTTACTTTGATTTCGAAGAAAACCCAAAATAATAAAATAAAATCACAAAAATCTTATAGAATCTTGTAAGGAATAAAGGTCATACAATTTTTTTTTTATTAGAAAAAACAAAAAAAACAAAAACTTTTCTTTCCTTTTCCTCTCCTTAAATTTCAAATTTCATTGAAGCTTTCTGGTGTACAATATTTAAAAAAAAGGACCTCATTGTTTCAACAAGTTTATATAAAAAAAAAAAACAAAAAATTTCGATTTTATGAAAAACTTTTTTTTTTGTAAGAAAAGGACATCTCTTAAATACTGTTATTTCCATCTAAACATTAAAATAGAGAGAAAGTTAGAGAGAAGGAAAACTTTTACATTTTCGGTTATACTAATTGGCTTTTTTTCTTTTGTATATTGTTGTTGTTTATTTGTTATTTATTTGTTATTGCGTTTCGGTCCAATGAATTTTCACTATGAAAATGTTATATGTCGTAAATATTATTACATCGTATAAATGCCTATGTCTTCTACATACATTTGTGTCAATTTGTATACAAGTTCATATTATTCGATCTTATTTTAAAAGTTTTACTAATTGTATGTGAAGGACTAATGGTTATTTTCATATATTATCACTCCATAAAGCTAGAATAGAAAGAAAAGAAAAAAATTTAATACTCCTATATTATGTTCTTATTCCTATACTTTTTGGTGAAATTAATCTATATAGAGGCAACAGTGTAAAAGAGAAAATAAAAGAGAGTACAAAGTTTAAGTTATGTTATCAATAAAGAAATTAGATTTATGTTCTCATGTATTAATTTCAAATAATGTTATTATCCCTGGATTTCCTATTAATGTATGGTTAGGATATTGAAAATATTAAAGGATTAATTTTTTACTTTTGTAATATTTTATGTACTTCTTATTCAATTTGGGGCCTATAAGGCAAATCAATATTATGGTGTTTTTTTTTATACTTTAATTCTATGGTGTATCGTTGCTTTAATAATCTTTAATACAACGTGTGTTGCAATATTATAGGGAAATTATTATACTGTTGTTTGTTCAAAATGTAAATATGGAGAATAGTTTATGTTGAACATATTGGCTTTGCAAATGTAAGAGAAATATGCTGTATATAATCGTATTTGTCTTGAAATTTAGAAGTTATCAAAAGAAATTCTTATTGCAGTTGTTAAGTCTATTAGGAAATTCTAAGATTGTAATTTTTTAACAATAATATAAAATAAAAATATTATGCATGCAAGATCCCTAACAAAAAAATATTACTAATAGGCCCAGCATTCCGAAGAAAAAATAGAAGTTTTTGTATTGCAAGATTCTACATTTATGGTGTGAGAAAAGTTCCTAATTTCAAAAATCAGAATTATCAAGCCATTTTAAGCAATTTTATTCCTAAAATATTCCGGCAAAAATTTATTGAATTGAGCTTCTGGTAAATATTTCTAATTTTATTTAAAATTAATTTCGTATACGAATTTTGAATTTTTTTATATTTTCAGTGCACATTTGTAAGATTTTCACTTGAAAAACAATTTTAAATTAATTTTTTTCTATATCAATAAAATATTAAAGTAAATATTAAACTTACCGACAATGATACTTGATCCAACTAACAGCAATGTTAACCAACTTGCACAGCCTATCCTGACCTTCATTGTTTGTTGCACAATTAAGCGCAAACACGAAATAAAAACACAAAAAAAAAAAAATTTAAAACTTAAAACATTTGAAAACAAAAATCTGGATTTCCTTTTCAAGTTTTCAGTGTCCTTGTGTATTTCCTTTTGCTGTTTTGTTTTTATTTAAATTTTCTTTATTTTCTTGTGAATTTTTTTGTTTTGTTTTCAGTTTCTGTTTCCTCTGATAGGGAAATGAAAATTGCTTTTATATTTTTTTTTTTTTAAATTCCAGTATCAAATATAATTCGAACGAAAATTGGGCGATTTCTTTAATCACAATGCAAACCTTTTTTTTTGTGTTATCTCTTCTTTAAAAATTTCGAAAGATAAAAAAACATTTGTCCTTTATAAATTTTTTTTTCTTGTTTTTTTTTTTTTTATTCTTCCACTGCCTTTTAGTTAGTTTTCTCTTTCTTTATATAAAAAAAAAAAAGCAATTAGAAAAAAATAAATTTTTCAATAAGGGGGGGTGGGGGCTTGAAATAAAAAATAGGAAAAATAAAAATTTTCTACAAAAATTTTTTGAGAATAAAAGTAAAAAATATTTTTATTTACAATTTGTAGTATCATGCCGTTTCGATATGAACGTATAGTTGAGTTTTAAGGCACAATATAAAAACAACAAGTAGCGCAATAATGAGCCTTACGGTATTTTTGGTTTGGAATTTTATTTTTATTTTTTCTATTTTTCTTTTCGGTTTTTATTACTATGCTTTTTATGACGCTTTAATAGTTTATAACATTTTAGTATTTTATTTCATATACCTAATTTTACTTTTAAAGATTTATTGAACAATTACGGCTTTTGTATCCGATTTGTCTTTCTTCGCTATAATTATAATATTAATTACGATCATATTAATGTAAGTATTGAAAGTTTTAAAATTTTATGCGAAATTAAATATTATATATAGGCCTGTAGAATAAATCTTTTCAGAGAATTTTAAAAATCAATATACTATTACGATAGTATACGGAACTTGTAGTCTTACTTCCAAAACGATAATATATTTTAAGTAATTACGATATATACAAGTAAGAGATTATTCTTTTCTGAAAAACACCAAATTACATAAATGTTTAAAATTAAACCATATATGTAATACTCCTGTTATCATATCACATTATTACGATAATGTCATCGTATTTATTGAATGAGAATAAAATAAATGAAGTAGCAACAAAATAATAGCACAGTACTAGTGCGTAATTATGTCATTAAAAAGAGAAAATGAAAGGAAATTGTTTTCTATTAAAATGAGTGTAAAAAATTACTGATAATATAATTTAGAGTACATATACTTAAATTTGCCTTAGCACAGTATAAATATTGCGAGATAAATAGCGAAAAACTTAAATCTTCTTCTCTTTTTCCTGTCTCTAAATGTAGCAACAAATTATGAACTCAAAATATACTTGTAATTTACTCACTCTACGTCTGTACTATAATAGAGCAATTATATATTTTTATTTTTCTAAAATTTCTTATTTTTCTCTTTTTGTTTAACATAATTTTGTTAACATTGTGAAAAGTGTGAATTCAACTTTATTTTTTTAAACTTTCTCCTATTATATATTGCGTGTGTTCAGTTGTATAACATTAAAGTTGTTAGTATATAATTTTACTTATAAATTTTAAGAGGTATTGTAATGATGTTACAAATTTTGTTTTTGTTTTTTTTTTTTTTTTATTAACTATCTCGTATAACTTTATCTTCGCACATAATTTTTTTTCTAAACTTTTCTACTCAAATTCGTGTAACAGTATTCTACATACATATTATATTATATAAGTATAATATATACGTATAATAGTTGAAAACTTTTATATAAGTATACGCACTTTATAAGAATAATAAAATAACATCTTACATTAAATACATTAAATGTTATACAGAAAAAAAATTTAATTCATATATATATACTCCTACAATGTGTATAATATTATAAATATGTAGGTGTACATTATACACATAAAATATTGTTAACAAGTAGTTAAGTATTTGAAAATAAAAAAGAAAAATAAAAAATTTTTATATACCATAGGAAAATAAAAATTATAATCGTTGACTTTTACCGTTTTTTATAGCGTAAAAATTTTAGTAGAACAAAATTAATAATAATTCATATAATAGTTTTAATTCACTTTAAATTCTATATTATGGATCCTATAAATTATTTTTATTTTATTATACAAAAATAATAATTTATTTTATTTTTTTTTTTTCTAAAAAAAAAAATTGTATAACAGTTTTAAATTTTTTCTTTTTTTCGTCCTTCTTTCATTATTTTGTGTTATATTTTTTTTAATTCTAGTCTTTAATAATTTATTAATTATTATATTATTATTTTTATTATAATTTTTATTAATTATAAAATTTTTTATAATATTTAAATATAAAAAATGGCAATAATGTTGTTGATTTTTAAGTAGCTTTTCTTTTTGCCACTTTTTATTTTCAATAATTTTAAAATTTATAATATTATTTAAAGGATAATGATGATCCATGCACATTAATATTTTTATAAACTGGTCGTCGATCATTTATGATTTTCAAAATTTCTTTATTTTAAATTTGAATTTTGAAATTTTTAATTGTGGCAGTCTTTAATAGTCAATATTAAAGCATAAGATTCTTTTGATAGTTTTTTTTCTCTATATTTAATTTTTATTTTTACTTTTTGTTAAATAATAAATTAAGTATCCTCCTTTTATATTTTTTGTTTTTGTTTTGTAAAAAAGTGAACATATTTTTAAACCCAAGGATATATAAAAGAATTTTGTATGAAACCTTGAAATTTATTTTATATTATTTAGGATGGAAAATATTTTATTATTAATTTCGTATGAAAATGTCCGTTGTTTAACATTTTCTTTTTCTTTTATTTTCACTATTTTTTCTTTCTCTTTTATAAATTGATCACTCTCCATTTATACGAGTACTATAAATACGCACATACATAATACATTATTTGTATTTAATGTATGTAAATATGTAGGTATACTTATATATTTTATATTATTTTGTTTCTTTAATGTTCTTTATTATTATCCTTTTTCTATTTACTCAGTAAATATTATGTACTTCTGTATATTATTATTTTATTTGTATATAAATTTATAATATAAATTTCCATTTTGTTAAAAGTTGCTGTAGTTTTCCTTTATTTTTCACTTTTGTATATTGTTTATTATTATAATATTTTATGTATGTGTGTTTTGTAACTAATATAGCACATAATATAGAATTTTATTTTTAGAATTTGTTTATCCAAAACTATCATCGAAAATATTCGTCCTTAAAGAAAAATATCAAAAAAAAAAAATAATGTAAGAAAACTGTACGTATAATTTAGTATGTAAGTTTATAATATGTTTGATTTATTAATAATACGTAATATACATATAAACATACTAATATAAATTGTATTTAGAAAATTGATTTTATTTTATTTTTCTATATGATTCGGTTATGCTTACGGCAATATTCTTTATTCTAAATTCCTTTCAACTTCATTTTGATTTTCTCTTTTAAATTCAATATACAAAATTATTATATTTCTAAAGAAGAAAAATTGAAAGTATTAGTACTAGTAAGTAGTACTCGGAAGTTTATAACAAAAGAGGAAACAAGAGAAATGATGTGAGATTTTTATTCGTTACATAAAAATACAAAAATATAAAAAATTTAAAGCTGCATAGAATTCTACATAAAGCTGCCCGTTTACACTTTGTGATTCTATTCAAATATTTATATAACAGTTATTATTGTTATATAATAAAATACATAATTTGTAACAGATGTGAATTAAGAATATATTTTCGAAAGCAATTTTATTTAGTTCTACTCTCTATGCTACATATTAGCTCTTAATTTTTCTGATTCTTATATTTTGTGCTCCTTTTTCTCTTGTTTATTTATTATTATAGAGAACATAAATCGTTGTGTTACATTGCATATGCAATACCACATAACTGGGATATTTTACAAATTTCATATTTTGAATTAAACCGTATATGTTTGGGATAGTAGCAACCAACATCTATGTATTAAAAAAATGACAGTGCTACTACAGTTTCGTAGTTGATTATAATGAAATGCGAGAAATTTACACTAACATGAGAGTTATTATATTATTTTATAAACAGTTTTTAGTATATTCTCTGAATATTTTAAAAATTGCGAGTTGTGCGGTATTGAATGCGACACAACAATATAGGAAAAAATTATGTTTTATTTGGAAAATATAGAAAGGATAACGAAAATAAAATATCCTTTTTCTTAATATAAAATCGAATATTTCTTATATAGGAATTAAGTGGAGTTTCTATATAATAGATTCTCAATTGTTGTAAAGATTTTAACTTTAAGTTCTACATGATGTGTGCTGGACAAAATAATATAATTCTTAGAAACAGATTTTTATTCTTATAAAATACTAAGCAGTTTTTTTTTTTATTTTTTTTTTGTTCAAGAATATTATTTTCTATAACTAAACATCTCTATACTTGAAATTTATTTTCATTTTTATTTTTTTTCTATTTTCTTCTCTAAATGATTGGGTGGATTTTTTTTTTTCAATATTATTTTTTTTTTCTTACTCTTCTTTTCATATTATTTATTCTTTCTGCGTTAAGTATGGAATAATTTCTTCATCAAAATAATAAATCTGTTATACTCGAATAGTATTATTGTGTATTTGTGAAGATGAAAACTCTTTATATTGAATTGTCATCATTGCAGAAAAATCAACTTCAAATTAAAAATGACACTGTACACATATAAAATTGGATATTTTTGTCAGCAGAAGATAAACACACTCCAATATCACTTCAAATTGTGATGAAAACAAAAAATCTGGTATTATTAGATCTGAAATTAGAAATAATAATAATAATAGGTTAGTATATTGAGAAATTTATTATAGAAACAAATAATATATATTCGGACAATATACAAAAGGTCATTAATCACAATATGAATAAAATTATGAGAAAAATGGTTTTAAGTATCTTTTTTTTAATTTTATTATCACAGGACTTGTATAATACAATTGAATGTGTATTGGAACCGTAGTAATTTGTTTTAATAATATTATTATGAAATATGCTAAAATTTTCTAGCCCGGTTGTTCATGATTTAATTAAAGTTTGACAGAGCCTTTGTATAAACCAAACAAATCAGCTTTAGCTTGAAAAAATTAAATTCAAATTTCAAAATTTCTTCTTTAATCTTCCTGATCTTCAATTTTTGAATTTAAAATTTTCTCTTTGGATATTCTTGAATTTTTTTCTCTTGATTAAACTAAATTTTACACTCATTAATTTTTTCAACATCTTGATATTGTTCTTTACTAGAGACTGTTTCCAATTGTAAAGTTCATTAGCTATGTTATTTGTCGCAAAAGAAAATTATCGATATTTAATTAAACTTTTGAGATCTGTACAAGTAAAATTTCATGACGTTCTGACTGAAAAAAATTAATGAAACCTTATCACTTAAATGTCTCGTTGAGTTTCGTTAGGCAAAACTAAATCTAATCAGATTAAAAAACGAAAAACATATTATTATTACCTATTGCAATGGTATTAAGTAAGTAATATGTAAGCCACCTGTGATTTCAAAAACGAAAAATTTTAAGCATTTTCGATCCCGTAGGAAAAAAATAAGTTAAGAAAATTTATAATTTTTTAAAATTTATCCTTACTATCTAAAAATTAGGGCATGATTTTTCGTCTATTTCAAATTAATATTCTCTTCTGAATCACCCCACTCTAATACTTTCATCCTTCATTTGTCTTCTCTTTCTTAGTATTACAATTTTTCGTCATCTTTCAACTATTTATTTTATCTTCGATTCCAAATAAATATTAAAGTAAATAATATTATTTGACATATTTTGTCAATGCCAATAATGTTGAGGTCATTATTTTAAAATGAGTGAAAATGTTATTGGTATAATCAATTTCACGCTGTATTTGTAATGTATTGAGAAAAATATTTTTATTATAGTACGATGCAGCAATTTATTTTAAAAATTCTAGTCTCTCGAATAGTTTTGTAACACTTCTTCTTGTCTGTGTACCTTTTCGGATTGCCATTATTGAAAATTTAGCAGTACGCAAGGTTGTGGGAAAGAGATTTTAAAATTTAGCATAAATAGAATTATAAAAATTTGACTCTGTACCACCTTAAATTTAGTAATTTTCATTGTTTTCATATGAAACAAATAATCTGTGCATATGAAAGCCAAATATTAAATTACATAAAATTTAAATCCATAAAATTGTTTAAACTTAATCATACCCTATAATTGGATGAATCACTAAAATATAAAAACAATTTTTCAATATAATTTTTATCAATTTTACCTTTGGTTATTTTGAGTAGTTCTAAAGCAGTATATTCCAAAAAAATCCTTTTAAAGGTTTCAAAACAAAAAAAAAAAAGAAGAAAACATTTTTTGGTTAAAATTCTATGAATTTTCTCTTACTTTCACTTTTGATTCTCAAAAGACGTTACAGATGACTTGAACATTTAATTTTGAAAAATGATAGCTTAATATCAAAAAATAAAAAATGAACCACAAATACAAAGAGAGAAGATTAAAAGTAGGGTAAATGAATGAAAAAGAAAAAAAAAAGCAAAATGCTAGTTACACAAAAAAATTTTTTTTTATAGAATTGCCATATTCTTTTAATAATCTTCAATTTTATTCTTTAATATGTGCTATTAATTTCATTTTACTATTTAGCAAGCATTCCAGTTATTTATAATTATAAGGAAATGAACAAGTTTCTTGTTATCCAAATTATTTAAACTTGCTGACTATTACTTATATAATTGGCATACAATAGCATTCAATTGAAATTTTAATTAGAAAATTAGTTCAAATCAAATTTATAACACTCATATTCCATATTTCAAAAATGTTTTTGACAAAGATCGAGAATTTGAAAAAAAAACGGTAAAAATGAATTTTCCTTTCCTCATTATTTCAAATATCTTAAGATATAGGGTAATAATTTTGTACAGCTAGAATTTGTAGCAAAAGAGTACTTTCGTGCTGCAACTTATAATTTCCAGCACCAATTTTCGAAAGAAATCACATGCTATTAACGAATTAAGAGCGCTCAGCTCACTTTGCTCTCAGCAATTTGTTTGATTTGAATAGACGGAATAAAATAATATGATGATACTATCTGACTGATTTTTTCACACTCCGAATCAGGCAACACTTTTAATACAATTCCAAATTTGGTAAAAATTATCTACATACTTTTCTATTTTCTTTTGTTTTTCTCTTACATCCTGCAAGGTAACATTAATAACAAACAATTCGCAATTACAAAATTCAGACGTATATTTATAGGTAAGAACAGTATTACTGGCATTATATTTCATTTTTTTTTGATTTAACATTTTAACTTTATCTGCTTTCATGACATAAGATCGTGTGGTGAAAAGCTCAATTTGCAATGATAAAAACAATAATTTGTGAACATAATTTTTCATAATGATATTGCATTATGTATCGTATACCTAAACAATCTTCAAACATATAAAATTAATTTAATTAAAAATACTCATATGATTAGGGTTGCCGTTTTAATTCATATTTTGGACTTTTTTGTTAACGTATCCAAAGAATGTACACATATTTATAAATTAAGAATGCAGAGAAAACTTTACAATATAAGTAAGATGTTCGGCAACTTATGCAAGATAATTGAATAAATTAAATTTTAAATTTAAATAGAATAGAGAAATTAATTTTATTTATTAAATTACAATTTATTGTGAACATTCAAAAATAAGGTTGAATTGAATGAAATTTAATTAGAAAAAATTTAATTATGAATAATAATTTCTTTTATAACTCACAATGAATCCAGAAATTCTTTAAATCAAGCAACCAGAACATTATAATTTTTGCCTTTTTATATCTTTCCGAAATATAGAAATTGCCTCTTTTTTTAATTTCGAAAACACCAAATCTTACCCATTAGGATATTAGATATACCAAAGAAAATGGTGACAAACTCAATAGCAATTAATGAAAATGTAATAGGAGCAATGATGTGTATTTTAATTTCAATCCAAGGTACATGCAATTCCTTTTCTGCCTTTTCTATTATAAAAGTTCTTTCACATATGCCTTAGAAATCATTAGTTACGTTCAATAATAATTAAAATGACATCTATTGCATCAAGTATCTTTAAAAAGATTCTGTATATTATATAGAACACACAATATCAAAGTAGTTTTAATATACCATAACCATGGCTATTCAACTGATTAAAAACTAAAGAATTTTCATTTTAATGATCAATATAGTTAAAGTTTAAATATTGGTATTTTTAAGATTTTTGTCCAGTTGATTAACAGACATGACATTAATTTCGATTCCTACACCCTTAACATAATATATATTAGTTATTTAGCAGCAGTGTTAAGATATTTTGTTTAATTCAAGAAGAATAATGAAAACTATATGGGGTAAATCGTCTATGAATACTATTAATTTCATACACCATCATACTCTAAGCGAATATATAATATAATAATTTACACCTTTATATTCCAAAAATCTTTACTAACACATATCCATATAGTCATTATACTCGTATATCTAATATAATAGTGTTCATCTTACATTTTATTATAATATTGTTATTGCTATACTATGATAACGTTTCGGTCATTGTGATCGGATTGAATTTTTTATAATATTACTATAGAAATTGTATACCATTTTGATATAAAATATGCTGACTAAAAACAAAACCATAATCACGTACAAAATAGAAAATTTAAGTTGAGTCAATCCTTGTTAAATAATAAAATTTATTTTAGACTTGTCTTGTCACTTACCCAAAATACAAAATGATATTGTCTATACAAAGTATTATACGAGTAATATAAAAGAGAAAAAGGAATGAGAACGAACTGAATTTCAATATTATGTATACAAAAAGATAAGAGATAAAATGCAAAGGAATAAAAAATAGTATTCCAATAATATAAGTGAATGTACTTTTTCATAAGTTGTCTGTATACTCTGTATAATATAAATATAAATGTAATATATTCAGATAAATTATGCGAGTGTATATATGTATAATTGCTTTGTTAACGAAATAAATTTTTTTCATACATACATATTTACTAGACAATAAATATCACAGTGTTAAAGTCTTGAGTTCATGTTTTCGTTTTTTATTTTTTACTTCGAAAGGGAATTAGAGTGAGAGGAATTAACATGAAAGCAGTGGGAATTAACATGTTTTGAGTAAAATTTACCTTTGTACCTTTGAATTTAATTTCCCTGGGAATTCTTTTATATTATATATATATATTTTTTTTTTGAAATGAAGTAAATGAGAATGAAGATGACAAAAATAAAATGGAAAAGGTTGTGGAAATTTTCTGTTAAAATTGGGTGTGAAAATACTTTTCAGAATAATTTGATTTCTATATAGTATAGTAAAATATCCTCCTTATACAATATACTGCCTTGAAATTAATTGAAAACATTTCTATAGAAAATGAAATAGAAATAAATTATATAAGTATATTATTATGAGACGAGAACAGAATATTATATAAGATTAACAAATCAAATAGAACGAACTAATATATATAATATATATATAGAGTAAACAATTTTTCGTCTGAAAAGTTAAATGCTATAATATAATTATTATGTAAATTGTATTTTTTATTAATCTATTTTAAATAAACCATGTAAATTGATACCATTACTTATATTATAATATAACAAGAATGTGACATGTAAAATTACAAAATATTTATTTAACTAAAATATTTATAGATCAGTTTAAGAAGATTATTACAAAATGTTACAACT